GTTCTCTTTTTACGCAAAGCTCTTTAGCCAAAAGAAGAGAACAGATCTTAATGCCACTGCATAACCACAACATTACTTTCTTATGCTAATAATGATTTATAATTAAGCTGGGTATATAGATAGTTGCCTAATCATAAAAAAAATGTCATTACACTAAACAACCAGGGATTACACTGGACAGCACACATTTTGGTTAGATGTGTTACATGTGTTTCGTAGGCCTGGGTAACAACGGAAAAATTTGTTTCTAAAATCGATTCGTTTTTTGGGGTTTTTTGCGTTTCGTTATTTAAAATAATTACAAAATTTTCCTTTTAAAAAGTTCGATATTTACGAAATTTCGTAAATGGTAAAAAATTAACGAATCGATTTCCGAAACAATAACGAATCGATTCGTTCATGGCGGACGCGACCGCGAAATACGCTAAAAAACCTCCAAAACCTTCTGAAGCTTCCCTCTCCCTCTGTTGTTGACTGTTGGTGTGATATTATAATTTTTTTTCACTAATTAAACCATAAAACTGGCCCAAACATGCGGAAATAATAACGAAACGACCTCAAAACAATAACGAAACGAATACAATATCGAAATACGAAGCATTTACAAAACGTTTTTGAAAATTCGTTTTTTTTAATAATTGCTCCAGAATGGTTCATTATCGTTTTGTAATTGAAAAAATTAACGAATTATTAACGAATTACGAATTAACGAAACGAAACCGCCCAGCTCTAGTGTTTTGAGGTATATTTGACCTGATGGTTCCAAAAATGGCTCCAGGTCTTCCCCATCAGCTCTAGTTTTGGAGATACATAATATATGTCTTATACCAATCATCATTTTCTCTCCCATAGAAAACCATAGAAAACTGATTTTGTTCATTTTCATCATTTTCCCTGTTCTGTTGCAACTGTCCACATGCTTGTGGTTTTCAGTGGCCTCTCTGTATCATGAACAAAAGCTGGCCACCAGTATTTAAAAAAATGCTTTCCTCCAGATTTTGGGGATCTGACAGGATGCAGTGCAGTTGTTCATCAGCTCCAGCAGCCAGCACCTTGCTTGCAGCAAGTCATTTCTGGTCGCTTCTGGAGATAGAGAATCAGCCCTCTACAAAGACATTGCCCAGGGGATGCCTGGATGTCTTGCAATCCTGCGAGGAGGCTTCTCTCATGTGCCCCATAAATGTGGGTGAAACATCAGGAGAGAATGCTTCTAAAATTAGGACAGTAAATAAAGAACAACACTCTGAAAACGGGAATTCCAGACATGATACAATCAGGGCCTGTTAACTCCCAACAAAGGATTCCCCAGGCAGGAATCAGCCAGACCTTGAAGCTGCAAGGCTTTGCAATGCTAATCAAGGTTTATTAATTGCAACATTCACACTTGCCTCCAACAGACAAGAATTCTTTCTCCCACCCTGGATCTTCCATAGATATATAAACCTCCCTTGCTTGGTTTCCAAAATTCCTCACAACCTCTGAGGATGCCTGCCATAGATGTGGGTGCAACTTCAGGAGAGAATGCTTCTGAAACATGGCCATACAGCCCGAAAAACTCACAGCAACCCAGTGATTCTGGCCACGAAAGCCTTTGACAACACAATGGATGCTCAAGTCCTCAGTAGATTTTCCTGCACAAAATGGGCTTCACACCCGGCTCTCCAGCATGTTACATTACAGCACTAAAACCGCAATGTCACACTGGTTCCTTATTCCTGTGCACAGCCTGCTCAGGTCCTAGCCACTTCACTCCATACATCTGGAGATTTTTCCTATGAGGCGGGTGAGGTGGTAGTCATTTGTGATATTATACATTTTTCTCAGGAGGAGGCGGTGGTTTACAGTATCATAAGCCGCTGACAGGTCTATGAAGATCTGCTGTGATCTGCTGCCTTTCAAAGCCATCTTCTATGTGCTGAGTCAGGTTCAGCACTTGAAATGTGCAGCTTTTGCCTTTCCTGAAGCCAGCTTGCTGTGGAATCAGACAGGGGTCTATTTTTTCCATAATTCTATGCAAAATAAGTCTCTCCAGAACTTTGTAAAGATGGCATAACAAGGAGATTGGTCTATAGCTTTTTGGATAATAACGGTCTTTGCCTGGTTTCAAGATAGCTATGACTCTTGCTTTCCTCCAGATTTTGGGGATCTGACAGAATGCAGTACAGTTGTTCATCAGCTCCAGCAGCCAGCACCTTGCTTGCAGCAAGTCACTTCTGGTCGCTTCTGGAGTTAGAGAACCGTCAAGACCTTGCCAAGCCCTTGACATTGCCCAGGGGACACCTGGATGCCTTGAAATCCTGTGAGGAGGCTTCTCTCATGTCCCCCATAGATGTGGGTGAAACATCAGGAGAGAATGCTTATGGAACATGGACATGTTGTTGTTCATTCGTTCAGTCGTTTCCGACTCTTCGTGACCTCATGGACCAGCCCACGCCAGAGCTCCCTGTCGGCCGTCACCACCCCCAGCTTTTTCAAGGTCAGTCCAGTCACTTCAAGGATGCCATCCATCCATCTTGCCCTTGGTCGGCCCCTCTTCCTTTTGCCTTCCACTTTCCCCAGCATCATTGTCTTCTCTAGGCTTTGCTGTCTCCTCATGATGTGGCCAAAGTACTTCAACTTTGTCTCTAGTATCCTTCCCTCCAATGAGCAGTCGGGCTTTATTTCCTGGAGGATGGACTGGTTGGATCTTCTTGCAGTCCAAGGCACTCTCAGAACATTCCTCCAACACCACAGCTCAAAAGCATCGATCTTCCTTCGCTCAGCCTTCCCTAAGGTCCAGCTCTCACATCCGTAGGTTACTAGGGCTGGGCGGTTTCGTTCGTTAATTTCGTAATTCGTTATTAATTCGTTATTTTTTTTGATAACGAAGCGATATTGAACCATTCAGGAGCAACTAAAAATCGAAACGAATTTTTCAATTCATTTCGTAATTGTTTCAAAATCGTTTCGAAATTGTTTCGAAATCGTTTCGTTATTATTTCCGCATGTCTGGTGCAAGTTTTATAGTTGTTTGTTTTATCAGTGAAAAAAAATATAATTATCACACCAACAGTCAACAACAGAGGGAGAGGGAAGCTTCAGAAGTTCCCCCTGTCCCATTTGGAGGTTTTTTTAGCGTATTGCGCGGTCGCGTCCGCCATTAACGAATCGATTCGTAATTGTTTCGTAATTTCCGAAATTTCGTAAATTTCGAACTTTTTTAAAGAAAAATTTCGGAATTCTTTTAAAAAGAAACGCAAAAAACCCCCTAAAAACGAATCGAGTTTAGAAACAAATTTTTCCGTGGTTGCCCAGCCCTATAGGTTACTACAGGGAATACCATGGCTTTGACTAGGTGGATCTTTGTTGCCAGTGTGATGTCTCTACTCTTTACTATTTTATCGAGACTGGACATTGCTCTCCTCCCAAGAAGTAAGCGTCTTCTGATTTCCTGGCCACAGTCTGCATCTGCAGTAATCTTTGCACCTAGAAATACAAAGTCTGTCACGGCCTCCACGTTTTCTCCCTCTGTTTTCCACTGGAACAAAGATCCACTGGAAAATAGAGGGAACATGGACATACAGCCCGAAAAACCTACAGCAACCAGTGATTCCGGCCGTGAAAGCCTTTGACAAGGTCCCCCAAGGTACCTGGATTTCAGTAAGGCCTTCGACAAGGTCCCCCATGACCTTCTGGCAAGGAAACTAGTCCAATGTGGGCTAGGCAAAACTACGGTGAGGTGGATCTGTAATTGGTTAAGTGGACGAACACAGAGAGTGCTCACTAATGCTTCCTCTTCATCCTGGAAAGAAGTGACGAGCGGAGTGCCGCAGGGTTCCGTCCTGGGCCCGGTCCTGTTCAACATCTTTATTAATGACTTAGATGAAGGGTTAGAAGGCAGGATCATCAAGTTTGCAGACGACACCAAATTGGGAGGGATAGCCAATACTCCAGAGGACAGGAGCAGAATTCAAAACGATCTTGACAGATTAGAGAGATGGGCCAAAACTAACAAAATGAAGTTCAACAGTGACAAATGCAAGGTACTCCACTTTGGCAGAAAAAAAAATGCAAAGATACAGAATGGGTGACGCCTGGCTCGAGAGCAATACGTGTGAAAAAGATCTTGGAGTCCTCGTGGACAACAAGTTAAACATGAGCCAACAATGTGATGTGGCGGCAAAAAAGCCAATGGGATTTTGGCCTGCATCAATAGGAGCATAGTGTCTAGATCTAGGGAAGTAATGCTACCCCTCTATTCTGCTTTGGTTAGACCACACCTGGAATATTGTGTCCAATTCTGGGCACCACAATTCAAGAGAGATATTGACAAGCTGGAATGTGTCCAGAGGAGGGCGACTAAAATGATCAAAGTCTGGAGAACAAGCCCTATGAAGAGCGGCTTAAGGAGCTGGGCATGTTTAGCCTGAAGAAGAGAAGGCTGAGAGGAGATATGATAGCCATGTATAAATATGTGAGAGGAAGCCACAGGGAGGAGGGAGCAAGCTTGTTTTCTGCTTCCCTGGAGACTAGGACTCGAAACAATGGCTTCAAACTACAAGAGAGGAGATTCCATCTGAACATGTGGAAGAACTTCCTGACTGTGAGAGCCGTTCAGCAGTGGAACTCTCTGCCCCGGAGTGTGGTGGAGGCTCCTTCTTTGGAAGCTTTTAAACAGAGGCTGGATGTCCATCTGTCAGGGGTGATTTGAATGCAATATTCCTGCTTCTTGGCAGGGGGTTGGACTGGATGGCCCATGAGGTCTCTTCCAACTCTTTGATTCTATGATTCTATGACAACACCTTTCGCCTTCTCTGCCAAAGAGCAACTCCCCGAATTCCAGAGCAGAGCCAAGGCGCAAAGTGTATGAATAATCTTGTGCCACCTCCCAAGTGGCAGGAGACTTCTTTGCAGGTGAAAGCCCTGCCCTGGGGCTTCCTTGGCAAAGAGAGGCGGAACAAAAGGGAGCTTCTGCTGCCCTCCCCGCCCTTTGCTTATACCGGGTTATCTCCCAAAGTCCCCGCCTCTTGAAAGGGGAGGGGAGGCCGGGGAAGGAGGCAGGGCAAGGGACTCCCGCGCTAGGCTTGGGAGGAGGAGGAGAAGGAGCCAAACAAAGGGAGGCCAAGGGAGGAGGGTCTCTTTCCCTTCTCCTCTCCCTTTTCCAAGGGATCCTCTGCAGGGGGGATGAAGCTGGGGAAGCTCCGAGGCGGGAGAAGGGGAACAATAGACCCTTCGTAAGGAAGGAAGCAAGGCAGGGGCGCCTTTTGTTTGCCTGAGCCTCTCCTCCTCCTCCTCCTCCTCCGCCATGGCCATCGCCCACATCGCCACCGAGTACGTCTTCTCGGACTTCCTCCTGAGGGACACCTCGGACACCAAGTTCAAGGGGCTTCGGCTGGAGCTGGCCCTCGACAAGCTGGTCACCTGGATCTCCGTCGGGCTGCCACTCCTCCTCATCTCGCTGGCCTTCGCCCAGGAGATCTCCATAGGTAAACCCCGCCTGCCTCCACTTGAGCGCAGTTTGGCCCCATTGGCCCTCGCCCTGGCTCAGTGTCCCACTCGCCACCCCAAAGCAAAGGCTTCACTGGAGCTCCAGTGGAATCTGACACCCCTTTCAACTGCTATGTGGGATCCTGGGGGTTGTGGCTTTGGAGTCAGACACTCCTTGGAAGTGCTGTGTGGGATCCTGGGGGTTGTGGCTTTGGAGTCAGACACTCCTTGGAAGTGCTGTGTGGGATCCTGGGGGTTGTGGCTTGGCAAGGTCTTCAGCAGTGGTTCTCAAGCTTCCTAACTCATTAATCCAGGTCCTCATGTTGTGGTGACCCCCAATCATAACATTATTTTCATTGCTACTTCATAACTATGATTTTGCCACTGTTATGAATCATCATGTAAATATCTGATATGCAGGATGCATTTTCATTCACTGGACCAAATTTGGCATAAATACTCCCAATTTTGAATACTAGTAGATTGCGGGGAATTGATTTTGTCATTTGGGAGTTGAAGTTGCTGGGATTGATAGTTCACCTACAATCAAAGAGCATTCTGAACTCCACCAACAACAGAGTTGAACCAAACTTGGCACACAAAACTCCCATAACCAACAGAAAATACTGGAAGGGTTTGGTGGGCATTGACCTTGAGTTTTGGAGTTGTAGTTCACCTACATCAAGAGTAGCACTGCGGACTCAACCAATCATGGATCTGGACCAAACTTGGCACAAATACTCAATATGCCCTAATGTAAACATTGGTGGAGTTTGGGGGAAATAGACCTTGACATTTGGGAGTTGTAGTTGCTGAAATTTATAGTTCACCTACAATCAAAGAGCATTCTGAACCCCACTAAGGATAGAATTGGGCCAAACTTCCCACACAGCACCCCCATAACCAGCAGAAAATACTGTTTTCCAATGGTATTTGGTGACCCCTCTGACACTCCCTCCAGGTTGAGAAACGCTAATCTTGAGCCTACTTTAACAACATTTCCCCTTATCCCATAGGATTGAGTCATGGCAATCCAAGCAGCGTTGAGCTTCAGTCATTCTACACCTGCCAGGTGTTTTGGACTTCAGCTCCCACAATTCCTAGCAGCCTACTTTGGCTGTTAGAAATTGTGGGGGTTGAAGTCCAAAACATCTGGAGGGCCGAAGTTTGCCCATGCCTGGAGTAGACACACCCAAAATCACAGGACTTCCTTAGCAAGATTTATCTTCCTCTGGGGCTGAGAAAGCATGATTTGACCAAGATCTCCAAATGGATTTCTATGGCTGAGCAGGAATTCAATCCCAGGCCTTCTAGTGTCCTAGCTCAGCACTCAAACCACTGTGTCATGATGACACCTGTTACAGGTTGAATACCCCTTATCCAGAAATCCAAAATTGTCCATACAGGTGGTTGAAAGAGTGACACCTTTGCTTTCTTATCATTTGGTGTACACAAATCTTGTCTTACAAAATTGTTGTGTATCAAATTCCTTTTGGGTGATGTGTGTAGGGTGCCAATGAAACAGAAATGAATGCTTTGTTCCGATTTGGATCCTGTCTCCAAGATATCCCATTATGTCTATGCAAATATTCCAAAATACAGAACATTTCTGGCCCCAAGCATTTTGGAGAAGGGATACTCAACCTGCATTTGGAGAAGGGATACTCGACCTGAACCCATGCTTTTGGTGTTCCTCTTCTCTTTCTTTCTAAGGCTTGTGACAACTAAGCAAATGTAGTGATTCAGACCAGGGCTCTGATCCAGTTGGAAAAAGAAATCCAATTTGGCAGCGGCAGCAAAGTGCAATCCTAAAGCCACTCCCAAATAAACAAAGGCACTTCCACAGTATTAAATTATGGTGGGCCTTTGGTATTTGCTGGGATTTTGTTTCAGCACCCACCTCTTCAGATACTAAAACCTATGAGTGGTGAAATCTCATTATATCTTTTGGTATAGTAAAATGGAGCTCCTTTGATAAAATGAGAAAAATCAAGATGTTGGAATATTTTCAAGATGTAGATTGTTAAACCTGTGGATACAGAATCCATGTATATGTCGGCCTGTTGTATTGCACTGTGGTTCCACTTTAACTGTCATAGGCCCCTTTTATACTGCCACATAATCAAGTTCAAAGCAGATAATCTGGATTTTATATGACAGTGTAAAAGAAACCATTGTTTTATCTCATGGATGTGCAGTTTAGGGAAGGGTACTTTGAACTCTCAACCAGGGATCTATAGTGTCTTATACTGCCTAGGATTGCATAGGATGTGGTCATAGCAGTCAAAGTGAAACCATGATGCTGTTATTGTGCAGGGTGAAGGAGCCAAGACCTCACTAAACAGTCAGACAAATAGATTAAGTATGCTTTTAAGGGTATTGTTGTATACTTTCAAGTCAGTTCTGATTTGGGGTGACCCCAAGATGAACCTTTCATTGGAGTTTTCTGATGCAGAGACTGTGTGACTTGCCTAACACCATCCAATGGGTTTTCACAGCTGACCAGAGGTTCGAATCCTATTATCTAGAGTCGAAGTGCGATGCTCAAACCACTACACCACACACTATTATGCTTCATCCTTAGGTGTACTTAGGAGTAAGGCTTGCTGAACTCTATGAAGCATATCTCCAAATAGTCTTGTACAGAACTGAAGGGGTCAGTCCTTTAAAGCAGTGTTCGTGGTCCCTTAAAAAACTAGACTATTTTGGCATCTGTTTTCCTGACCTGTTGAGAAGATGAGTCGCAATCTGCAAAATATACAGTCTAATTAAATGTGTTTGTCTCTAAAGCGTCGACCAAGATTTTGAGGGTCAGTTTTGGACTCGATTTTCTAGACTTATGCATGAGAATATAACCCGAAATAGCTCAGGAGGGCCATAAAAGATAGCAAAATGTATTCTAAAGTGGGTGAGATAGAGGATGCATTCCACCAAAGTCTCCTGGAGGTAAATGGCACACTACTCAAAAAAGTTTCCCACTCCGTATTTACAAAGAGAGAACTATGACATTCAGATCACAGCTTCTGCAGACACTATCCACAGCCACTCATTTACCTTAATGTTGTTCTGGCCCAAAGCCACAAATAATTCATATTTTTTGGCTAATCATTTCTAATGCAGTGGTGGATTCCATCTAATGGATATGTTGGAGTTAAAACTATACTATTCAAATTTTGTAATGGAGGAAAAAGAAACCTTGACACATTCTAGTGTTTTGATATAAAAGCAAAGCAAATTTGTTGCTTCAGAGATTCCTTTTGGTTTCAATCCAGCAATACTGTTGTCCTTTTTCGCCGCAGTGTTGATATCTTTCACATGAATTGGCACTAATTAAACAGCCACATCAATTTGTGCAATTATAGTCATAAACCTATCAGGAGATGCATTTAAACATCTCTACCTTCTGTTTTGGTAAAACAAGGACCTGGACACTAGCAACAAAACAATGAAACATTAGTTATATATGTAGATATGGGCCAGTTTTCTGTCTCTTGAACCTCCAGAGCCTCGTGAACTCTCAAAAAGGCCAAGTCCAACAATAATGACCATGATTGTTGTGGTGATGATGATGATCATAACAACCATGTATGGAGAGGTAATTTTGAAACATGGGCTCTTTTGATGTCAAACAAGTTTCAGCCCTTCCTATACTTATAGCAATTTACTATTCCTTCAGGATTTAGGAAGAGTGATTTGGGGACTCTGGAAGAATTAAGATCACAAAGAAAACTTTGAGGGCCCAGCGTCCACTTTGGTCATTCCAGCATCCACCCTGGCATCATGGGGGCTAGTTCCTTTACCCAATGGTCCATAAATAACAGCTGTATTCAATTGAGGGTTATGAAAACTTGTGCATTGTTTACATAGAATCATAGAGTTGGAAGAGACCTCATGGGCCATCCAGTCCAACCTCCTGCAAAGAAGCAGGAAAATCACATTCAAAGCATGCCTGACAGATGAACATCCAGCCACTGTTTCAAAGTGTCCAAAGGAGCCTCCACTACACTCCAGGGCAGAGAGTTCCACTGTTGAACAGCTCTCACCGTTAGGAAGTTCTTCCTCATGTTGAGGTGGAGTCTTCTTTTCTGTAGTTTGAAGCCATTGTTGCATTGTGTCCTAGTCTCCAAGGCAGCTGAAAACAAGCTTGCTCCCTCCTCCCTATGACTTACCCTCACATTTATACATGGTCCTCATCATGTCTCCTCTCAGTCTTCTCTTCTGAAGGCTACACCTTCCCAGCTCTTTAAGCTGCTCCTCATAGGGCTTGTTCTCCAGACTCTTGATAATTTTAGTCGCCCTCCTCTGGACACATTCTAGCTTGTCAACATCTCTCTTCAACTGCATTGCTCATCAGTAGACAACTCACATTGGTTGGGGGCATCATAGTTCTTTAATGAGGCGGCATAAGGCAACCAAGGTGTAATGCATTGTTGAAGGCTTTCACAGCTGGAATCACTGGAATGTGTGGTTTCCAGGCTGTATGGCCATATTCTAGCAACATTTTCTTCTGATGTTTCGCCTGCATCCGTGTCTGGCATCTTCAGAGGATCTGAAAACAACTGTAGTGTTTTCAATGTGTAAAGTTAAGCAGCTTTTCCTCAATTTAGGATATTAGCCAAAGTGTGATTAGTGATATAGCAACCCCAAATGTTATAGCCCAAAGCAGCACCATCTACAACAACATACTATATATACAGCCTTGAGAAAATAGTAAAGTTTTTCAGGAATATAACCCAACACAGGTCAGTGAAGACTAGGTTGAGTGATGAATTTCAGTTCACTATGTTAACTAAGTTATTTTACTCTTGGAGATATATATTTTCAACAGGTTTGGGTTTGTGGTTTCTGATTATTCCTTACTTCTTTTACGTAACAGCAAGTTGGAGAGTAAATGTGTGTGTGGCAATTGGAGCAACCTTGGGGCAGCATTATTATTCAGACAGTGGTCTGAGAGGCAAGGGTTCACCCACAAAAGGTTTCTTTGTTTGGGATGCAGCTA